GGGGCCTTGCTCTCTCCTTTCCTCCCTTTCCAGCACTCCCCAGCTCGAGGAGCCTTTGAAAGTCCTCTTGCAGGGCATAGGGCAACGGTAAGTGTCCCAGTTGGGGGTTTGCAGCCACTGCCGTGAAGTCTGTGCCTTTTACCACAAAATTAAAGCTGATGACGCCCTGTTCCACCCGAGTAAGCCCCACCTCGGAGTTCGGAGGGTCACTCGCCCTTTGGAATCAAAGAGTCCTTGCTTGCTCTTCAAAAGCCAGGAGCATGGGTGGAAGGTGCCCTCCCAGTCTCCCCCCCCCAGCAGAGGATTCTAGACCCCTCCTCTAGGCCCCCCTGGGCCACTCAGACTCTCCGTTTCAGGGGGCCCGAAGCAGGGCGACCAAAGATCTTTCGGTATGTACTTCCACACGTTGTGCTGAGAGCTGGACGATGAACCCCTTGCTCCAAATTGATCAACACACTTTTCAACATCACCAGGACTAGGAACTTGTGGCCTAGGTTTGGTGGCTCCCATGGCGACATCGCCTTGTGGTAGAGCCACGTGCTTTGCATCAGCCTTCTTCAGCCTGGTGGCGTTCAGATGGGCTGGACTGGGGCTTGCACCATTTCTTGAGTCATGCTGGCTGGGGATGATGGGGAGTTGCAGTCTGACCCTCCGGAGGGATCAGGTAGAAATGCCAGTTTCACAGGCAGAACGACCTAGTTTCAATTCAAGGTACTTCCAGTTCAGGAAGGAATGGATAACACACAGCATCCTTTCTGCCTGAGACTTTGAAGGGGACCGTTGTGGCAGAAACAGCTCTTGGTTAGAGGAGCGCTGGCCCGGCCTTGAGGATGGGAAAGACGATCATCTGCCGGGGCCCTGGTACGATCACCGTAGGGCCCCGGCAACACTAGGAGCCACCCCTCGTCTTCACCGCTGGTGACCTGCTTGTTTGCTTTCCTCTCACTCTGGCCAGGACATGGGTGGAGGAAAGAACGGGGTGCAGGGTATGTCCCGGCGATTTTCTCCTGGGCCAACAAGTGGGGGCCGAGCAAGTGGAGAAGGAGCCAGAGGGGCTGACCCATCCAGCCCTCCCCATCTCCTGGATATATCCTTGGATTGGAGGGAAGGGCATTTCTGGTCCATGCTGTCTCTTCACTGACCAGTTGCCGCTTATTTGCTAGTGTTGACAACTGATGGTTGGCGCAATAAGTCCTGGCAGCCGTACTGTGGAGAGGCGGCTCCCAGAGGGGGGAAGCCATTGTGGGCGGGGTGCTGGGGACTCTGAAATCAGGCTGAGCCTGTGGAGGGAGGATTGATGGCGAGGAAGTTTGGGGGCCAAAGCAGCAGCCTTCAGGTTGCAGTCGGGCGGTGGAGACGCTGCGGCACAGGTGTGCTTTCTGCAGCATCCACCACCTGTGTCCAGCTGTTATCCTTAGGGTAGTATCTCCCCAGGGGCTGAGGCACCTCTGGAGGCAGGTGTTCTAACTGCTGTAAAATGCCAGCCCTCAGCCAGAGGTCTGGTGACAGGGCTGGGAAGGCTGTTTGGCAGCAGGGATGCATGAGTTTCTAGTTCAGTTTGAGGCCTCTCCAAGCAGCAGAACTGGGGGACACCTCTCTCTGGTTGAGACCCTGGCGGGTTGTCGGTAGCAGGGTAGGCAGAACTGGAGCTGGGCAGCCCAGCTGTCTGACCTCATCTGCGACCGTTTCCAGCCTTCACGCCGATTAGCGCAGCAGTCTGGCCTTGGGGTGTGGGGTGCCCCCTCCTTGAAAGCAGTTTCAGCTGGAACGGGGGTCTTCGAAGCTCCCCTCCCAGCAGGCCCCCATTGCAGACCAGGCTGCGTGTGTGCGACACACCTTCAGAGAGATGGAAGAATAACATTTGCAACTGAAAAGAATTTGCAGTTAGTGTCCCTTGTGGCACTCCAACTCTGACTTAACTCTCCTTCCAGAAGCCAAGCCATAAAACATCCACAAGGAGGCTTCACTTTCTGGGCTGCTGCCTCAAATTCCACTCCCCCTTTGCTTCATGGAAAGGCTTCCCGCCTCCCACCCGCTCGGGCTTCTGCGCTGCTTTGTGTGCTTGGAGCAGAGGCAGATTGCGGTGGGGGGGGGGGCGCTCTGTGCTGTGTGCAGGGCTGGGCATGTTCCTAGCACTGCAATTTTTAAGGAGCTCGGGGCAGCCTGCCACCTGGGGCCCTTCCAGCCCGCTCTGTCTCCTTGATAGATCCTTGGATTGGTGGAAGATGCATTTCTGGTCCTCGCTGCCCCTTCTCTGACCGGTTGCCACGCGCTTGCCAGTGCTGGCAGCAGACCTCCTGGCACAATGAATTC